GGTTGTTCAAGTATATGAATAACACCAGCAGCTGCAAAAAAGCTGCAGCTGTTTTTGTGGTTCATATTTGCATAAAGTTGAAGTAAGAGGTGTTTTTTCCACTACGTAAGAGTTTAGGTATTATTATAATTCCTTAAATATTTACATACCAGACGAATGAAGAACCTGCAGAAGTACCAGCTCAGGGTCACTTCCAGGACTGTAGTGTGAAGCCAGAGAGGGAGTGATGACGGCAAGGTTTAGAGCTGGTCAATGATTTCCTCGGGAGATCGACTCTGAGGCTCCACTGAGTGAAATGAGGCATTTTCAGTCAACCGGCTGCGTTGGAAAATGTATATAAAGTAAATGTCACGGGCAATGGGAGGTGCTGACAGGTAAAGAGAAGGTACTAAACAAACTCCAGTGTTACTAAGTGAAAGACAGTGGAGGGGGTGCAGCGTGAGAGTGGGTCAGCGGTGTCTGCTCGTGGTGTGTAGAGACAAGTGTGTGTGAATGGAAAAAGCAAAGCTGAGCAAACATCAGCAAAGAATCTAGCTTCACATAGGATAATAATGAGTTTTATATGTTGGTGTTATATTCCATGTGTAATTGGTGTTGCTGTGCCAACACCTCAAACAGCTCCTCAAACAAAAACCCTGCAGAAAATCATGCAAAACACTTGCTTTAATTCAGTATGAAGGAACTGGAGATACATCTGAAGTTTTAGATGATTTAGATTTTTTAGATTTTTAATTTTAGATTTTTTAAATTTTTATCATGTTCAAGTTGAATGCAAATCCTGATCGCCTTTGTGCCCTTAAAGAAAGCCCAACCGCACTCTCCCCAGTTGGGTTTAGGTAATAAGATCACTCATTAAGTGGAGAAATGGAGTGCTGGAATGAATAAATAATGATGACAAATAGTCCTCCATTTTTACACGTCTATTGCTGTTGTTCTCAAAACCACTCTCGGTTGTGCATTGTTTTAATGTACTTTTATGTTTTTTTGCCTAAATGAATTAGATGACCCATGAGGTTTCTTTTGGGAAGAATCTAATCTGCCTTGTTATGAAGTTAATTGAGGTCCTTTCAGAGACCACTTATGATACAAGCCATCGTTGACAGTATGTTATGCAGAGCAAGAGGGAGCTTCACTCGCATGTCACAAGAAATCCAGTGGGAAATGGAGGTGACAAAAGGCACCAAGTCACACCTGGGATTTTCTTTTAAAACCCAACTGATGAAAATGTAGGATGAAATATTTGAGGCACCAAGACCCTGAGATGGTACTGCTTGTATTAATACCAAATGACATTGCTGGAAGAGGGAAAATAATACCTTCTACAAGTATTGCTGGTTGCGGCTCTTGAATGTAGTTAAATGCTTGAAGCCCGACCCTCCAACGTACAACATGTAAACTGAATAGGTCTGGGAAATCTATCATATGGAACAAATAACTTATTTCCTGAGGCTTCGAAAATACATCTTTGTTAAGTTGCAATCATTGAAATAAAAATTAAGTAAAAAAAAAACACAACAGATTTTCCTTCTCTTCTGGTTTGTCTTTTTTTTTTGGTATGAAGGACACATTAAAATCCTTAAATGGCTCTACTCAGTTTTCTTTTTTTTTTTTTTTTTTAAAAATTAAATTTTTTTTTTTTTAAATTTTTTTTATTAATTTTTTTTTTTTTTTTTTTTTTAAGAATTGAAATTGATTTATTATAGAATTGTTTATATTAATGTTTTTATTGTGTCCATATTCTTGCTGTGAGCCGTGTAGTAAGTTAACTGGAGGGGTCCGGGGAAGGGGAAGCTCTTTGAGCTTCACTTATTTGTCAGACTAAAACATCTGGCTCTATTTTTAAGTTTTTGTTGTATTACTGAAGGAAATCACAAGTGATTTCTGCTCACCCCAAAGATTTCAAGATCAGATTTTAAATTATTTTGTGTTTCAGCTTCGGCACGATTTTTCAAATGTGTCCTCTTGGTGGGTTGAACGAGTTCGTTCTTCAGCTAAACAGCAGATTTATATTTTTTCATATTGTAATGTATAACTCTTTCTTGTTTGACAGCGGGCGTCAAAGTCCTGCATTATTTCAAGATTTATGGCAAGTTTAAATTAGATTAAAAGGTTTGAGCTTTACTTTTTTATTCAGAAATTGATACATTTATAAGCACAATAGTCTTTTTTCTTGTTTTTTTATGGATAGAAAACTGAAGCAATGTACATCTGTAATTCTATTTGACTGCGTCCAGGTCTGTCACAGAACGGAAATATTGCAAAAGAGTGAGCATTGGCCAGTAACGTCTTCTCTGGAGATGTGAATGAGTATTTGTCTCTATTTCACATTTTGCCCCGGGCCGTCTTTGCTAGAAATATGCCTTTGTGTGGAAAAAACGCCTCAGATATGGCACTGCTGAGATCAGTGTCAAATCATCTTTGGCCTCCCTCCAGCTCCACTCGGATCATCATTTTGTCTCAGACAAGCAGACGTCATGCACACAGTTGAGGCCTGTCACTCTGAGGGTCTTTGTTTCAGCAGGCGTGTGGGCTTTTGGAAGAATTTACTCTGGTACGTGTTACTGTGCATGTCATCCTGAGGAATGTGTGTGTCATGTTGGTGGTATTAGTAAATTAAGATTACTGTTTGTCAGTTGGAAAAATCTTGCAAAGCTATTCATTGCACAGATTCAATTGATTCTGGATCTTTTTGGATAAATTTACTTTTTTGGAGGATTTTACTGATTTATTTTTTTCTACTTTAGCAAACAAATTATCTAAGGCAGGCACTCCACGTGGTCCCTCAATTAATTCTTGACTGCTCGGCTTGTCATAGAAATGTTGTGGAACGATTGCCAGTCACATGTGACATACTGGGTCAACTAGATTTGTTTGTTTTGGAATTGTTAGCACGTTTCCTTGGCATTACTATCAGAGTATTTTAACAAAGCATGAAGCAATTAGGAGTAAAATGCCATTTGTTTAGAGAGAGACACAGTTCTTGTGCGTTGACTTGTTCTGTATCGCAAACGATACTGTTTTTCTATTCCCTGAGTGTTCTGCTAGATCAACCCCTGTCAAGACAAGGCATGCCAAGTTTCCATTTTAAATTCATCACTGTCAGACGAGTAAAAAAAGACAAACACACTCTGTAAAAAGGAAACCAGTTGACCCAATATGTAAGCAAATCCCGATTACTCCTTTTTGCACTGCTCAGTGGTTTAAAGAGGTCTAAAAGTGTTTTTTTTTCATTAGAATATTCACTGAGCCCATTCCATTAGTTTGTGGCACCAATTTCTTGCGTTTATTTTTAATTGAATTGACTGTTCAGATACTTAAGCCAGCTGTGAATGCATTTTAGAGTAAACATCATATACTGGAGCATCTGTGAGCTATTAAGTCCACTGATATGACACTAAGGACTCAAGGGGAAACATTTCAGTCAGTTATTGGACATAATAAAACAAATGTCTCGCTGAAGAACTCCTGTGACCCTCCGTTAGAGGCGGGAGTGAATGCGAGTGGTGACAGAGTCCTCTCTGAAAAACGACTACGAAGGCTGATGTGTAAGGAATGTGGATCACAGATGAAGACTCCTTGTGTGTTAACTAACCTGGTGTGTTGACAACCAGAAAATACCCAGCACCTACACAAAAACGATTTTTTTTGTTATCTTACAGTGTTTGGCTGTAATAAACTATGTGGCAGGATTCCCATTTGTTGTGGTTTCTCTTTGCCGCCATATAGCTGGATGGCTTTTAATTTATTTGGCCATGTGTAGATTTTTTACGAGCAGGGTGGGAAGCAGAAAAGATTGTAGTTTTAATCAATTTTGTCTATGTTTTTGGTGGTATATGAATGGTATTAGAGTCTGCTTGATGGTTATTAAAGGCAACATATTCCCTTAAACTGTATTTAGTTAGATTTGAGTTTAAGATTATTTTTTTTAAATTGATAGTATTAGTTGTGATTTCAAACTTGTTCTTTCATTTGCCCTTTTTCTCTGCTGCCATTCACTGTGTATATAAGACTTAATATTCAAGGGCTTCAGCTCTAGGCTTTTTTTAGTTCCCATTTCAAAAAGAAAAGAAAAATCCTGCAGTTCATCGATGTCATCGATGAGTGAGGTGTCTCTTCAGACACAAGTGTCCTTTAAAAATCTGAAGTCTGGCTGCAAATACACACAAGCCTGAACACTTGTGCTTTTGTTAGATCTGTAAATCCATTTATTCTTTACTTTCACATTAGGGTGTAAAAGAGTCCAGAAATTACACATAATGAACAACTACGTTGCCAATCCTACCAGTTGGTGTGACCAAAATGGTCCCAGGCTGACAGTCATGTCCCCTGTGTGTGTTTATGAAAGTAATGCTCTGCTTTCCCCATCACAACCTCAGAACGCTGGTCTTTGGTTTTGCCAGCTATGTGGCAGTCCCTTAAATAAACTGACGAAAGTAGTGCAACATGTTATCCATACCATGTTTAAAATCTTGCTTGTTATATGTCAAATGGATTTCAGCTTTAACATCCTGAGTACTGGAGTTTTAAAATGACAGAGTAAATTCTGCTGTTGTCGTAGTTACATCAGTACCGCACTGCTGGGAGAGATATGCCACCCATCAGTATATGATTTAAATATTAAACCAAGATCTTCTGGCTACTGTTTTACATACATGTGGCATATCTGTTCCATTCACAGCTTGTCATTGTTTAAACTATGTTCCTCTTGCCGGAGGCTTTGTTCCTATAAAGTATAACAGCAGTGTTGCATAGTTAATAAGACTAAGAGTGACTTGATTGCTTAAAATTGGAACAAAATGTTACCAAATGAAGACTGAAGACTTCCACTTAGGACAGAATTAGCTCTCAACTAAAACAACTGTAGTTTTGACTGATCTCAATCTCCAGCAAACGTTGAATTCCCCTGAACATTAACCACCACTCGGCTAAATTCATCTGAACATTAACTAAGCTTCTGAACATTATATACCCCTGCTGTGTTTCCTGTTTAATGTCTATTTGAAACTATTATTATTTGCCCAAAAGGTCAGCACCCTGTACATTTATTGGATGTATCCATTCAACCTGCAGGCACAATCTCAACTGGCGGCTCTTTGTTTCTCCCATTCTAGGTTGACAGGTAATGAACCGTTGTCGATCCTGCCACTGAACTCTCTACCAGAGGAGACCACGGGCAGGGCTCACTTCAAGCTGTGTGACCGACTCAAACTGGAAAAGAAGCAGCGCAGGATGTGCAGACGAGACCCAGGTGTGGTGGACACGCTGAGGGAGGCCATCATCATGAGCGCCCTAGAATGCCAGCACCAATTCCGCTTTGAGAGATGGAACTGCACCCTGGAGGGGCGCCACCGAGCCAACATATTAAAAAGAGGTATTGCTGTGTGTAAGATATTCAAGCTCATTTTCTTTTATTAAGCAACAAATCTGACGGTGCATTCTGCTTTTTCTGTCTCAATTGTACTTTTTTTAGGATTTAAAGAAACCTCCTTTTTGTATGCCATCTCCTCTGCGGGCCTAACACAAGCGATGGCTAAAGCGTGCAGCTCAGGACGCATGGAGCGCTGTACATGTGACGAGGCCCCAGACCTTGAGAACCGCAAGGCCTGGCAGTGGGGAGGCTGCGGAGACAATCTCAAATACGCTAACAAGTTTGTCAAGGACTTCCTTGGCAAACGCTCAAACAAGGACCTACGTGCACGTGTGGACATGCACAACACAAATGTGGGCATGAAAGTAAGTGTGCAGGATTTTCAACTGCTGCTAAAATGACCAAAGTTGGATTTAACATGGACTTAGAGTTAGAATGATTGGGAGAGTGAAATTACTGAAAAGATACTGTGGAGTTTAAAAGTCATTACTTCTGTAAATTTGGTGAATTCTGAAAGTGCTCATTAATCAGTATTTTAACAGATTAGCCATGCAGCGTCTCTTATTTGCACTCTGGCATTATTCAGCAATTATTTGTAGTGGGCAGATATGGGTTTTTCATCTTGGAAGTGATTTTAATGGTCAAATAAAAATGGGGCATGGTCATAATCCATCATGCCAAAGCAAACCAATGGTCTGTAATAGGTTTCCTCTGCTTTTGTCCAATTGTATCCATTTTTGTCTTTGTTTCAAAATGACTTGAAGTAGAGGCACACTTCCCAAATGTTTGCAGATATAAAATTCTCTCAGGTCTTCCTAATATCTAAATTATTTAGAGCTCAGTCTCTAAGGATTTTATTTGTGATAGAAGTTTGTCAAACAGCGCTGTTTCGTTCTTTGTGTGTGTGTGTGTGTGTGTAATTTGCACGTGTAGTAAGCTCAAACGCTTTTGTTCAGAATGAATTCCCACACAGAAGACAAAACTGGAATGTGCTAACCTCTGCATCTCCCCTATGTTTTAAAAGCTGACCGATCAAAATTTCTTGACCTACTGGTGTGATGAATATGCACTTCCTGTTCCCCGATCTCTTTAGCAGTCCAAGAGGAGAAATGCATATTCTGTCCAAACCTGATCTGAGACACTATGTTCCAGTAACTGATTTTGATGCGTATACTGCTTGCAATTTAATCCTATCATAAGTGATTAAAGTAACATGTGACATTTTTTGTTGTCTTAAAGTTGAGAATCAGTAAGTTGCACTTGCAGTTGTCTATTATTTAGTAAATGAAGACTTTCTCTCTGGTTTACACCACTTCACTCTGCAGACTGGCAAAATTACACAAGATGTTTCACTTTGATTTACTCTGGGGTTTAACTCTAGGTTCACAAATTACATCTTAAAGCCAAAGGATAAATAGAGCTCTCTGATGTCTGATTATTAAAGGTTCCTCTTTCCCATGGAAATTTACTTAGTCTTTGTGGAACCTTCATAGTCACAACCTCTCCTTACTTATCACGATGATTATTAATTAGCTCAATTAGAATTTAACCATGATTATGGCAAAACCAATTCTACCACCAACTATTATTCACTTTTCCTTTAATTAGAGGGTCCGGGCAGTATTACTCCTCTTTAGTTCAGTAGCCTCTCATTTTCTCTTTTTTGTGATATTAAAAATGTCTGTGTGTTCAACCCATTCCACTCTTTTCATCTTACTGTGGGCATGAATTGGCCCTTTTTAAGTGGTGCTTACTAAACAAAGGCTCGTTAACTTGCATAGCTTTCGTGCTTTTAGTCTTTCATAGCGGCTAACAATTTTCCTTTTGTTTTTTCTCCAGGTAATCAAGGCTGGAGTACAGAAGACTTGCAAATGCCACGGCGTCTCCGGCTCCTGCACCGTGCAGACCTGTTGGAGGCAGCTCCTGCCCTTCCACGAGATTGGCAAGCAGCTGAAGCTGCGCTACGAGACCTCCATTAAGGTCGGAAGCTCCACCAACGAGGCCACCGGGGAGGGAGAGATCTCTACGGGCCGGAGCCAGCAGCAGCAGCAGCAGCAGCAGCAGCCCGTCCTGTCAGGTTTCAGTGATCAAATCCCCCGTACTATGGACCTGCTCCACATCGAGGACTCGCCTAGTTTCTGTAAGCCCAGCAAGTACTCGTGGGGCACTGCGGCGCGCAAGTGTTACAAGGACAAGAACTGCGATGCTATCTGTTGCGGGCGAGGCCATAACACACAAAGTAGGGAGGTGACTGGGCCCTGCCAGTGCCAGGTGCGCTGGTGCTGCTATGTGGAATGCAAGCAGTGCACACAAAGAGAAGAGGTCTACACCTGCAAAGGGTAAAACAGTAACCTGTCAGCCCACCCCCACCCCCCCACCCCCCGCCCCGAATCAGTGGAGCAAGTGAGATATGATTGTGTTCAAGACAAGTTGTTGTTTTGTTCTCAGTGAGGTTTTTGCGTCCAGCCACAGAACAGCGTTCAGCAGACAAAATGAGGAGCGAGCCCAGAAGGAAGCACTTTGAGGGATTCTGTGGGTTGGATTTCGGAGATCCTGCAGAATAAAAACTTTCACAGACAACTGGGTCAACATCTCAAGCTTTTTATCACAGCCTTGCTTTGTGGAGAAGATATTCCACTCTTTATAAAATAGATCGACAGAATTTTCGAAAAAGATAAATCAAACAAAAAAGCAGACGATAATGTTGTTAATATGGATCAAACACAAGGAGAGTAACGCCAATAGATGTATTTCTTGGGCTCTGTCCAAAGAGTAATGTGTGTGCCTGTGTGTGTTGCGGCGCTTGTGAAGATAGTGAAGAAGAAACAGAGTTGAAGTGATAACTTTAATGGCAATGAAAGTCATATGCAGACTGCTTTAAAAAACAAAACGACACAAAAAAAGACAGGGTGTAAGAATTACTCTACACGCACATATTCACACTCACACATTGTGTGTTTCCTTATGTATGTAAATATATTCAGTTATATTGTAATGGTATTATACAAGCCACTTATCTATCTATGTACAACAAACCACTAGCCACACAAATATTTTGTTGTTTGTGTGCAATTACGCGTTTATCTTCCTGATTCATGTTGACTTTTGACTTTTGAAAGCAGCACACTTGTTCAACGTCTTGCTGTGGATAATTTATCGATCCTTTGGGACTACTCCTACACCTGGAGGGAAAATTTTTTGTTTATTTTTGGCATTAATATAATATGAATCTGTTAGTGCATACGTTAACAGAAATGAAAAAGCAAACAAACAAACAAACAAACAGTGAGTTTAGGCTATTGTTAGTCTTGAGCGAATCAGTGTTCAGGGAATAACTTAAACCACTATATCTATTTGCATTAAATGGAAAGAAGACTGCACAAATGCAAAGAAAATCCAAGCTGGGGATGTCAGCGGCCTTGTTGAAGGCAACATCATAGCGACAGGTGATCATTGGATCAGCACATGGTCCGAGGGTGAACTCGTATGGAAAAAATTAAGGAGCTCTGTGGAGCTTAACTTTTCTTAGGAGTTTTTCTTTTCATACTCTGAAGTTCTTAAGAAAACTGTGGAGAACTGGAAGAATGTAACTTCATATCATTGCTTAGCTGTCTTTCATGTCACATGCCACCATTTGATTTAGTCATATGGACATGCAGTGTGTGCAGTAGAAGTTCAAAGAGAATAGGGCAACTGAGACAGAAAATCTTGCTTGACCTGTGTGCAGATTTGCATGGATCAAAGTTTTGTTGCTAATATGAATATATATTGCGTTCCACAAATGGATATCTACCCTTAAACGTAAAAGTGTTGCTGCTGTCTCCTTTCTAAAGTCAGTGAAGCTGTTTGTTTTTCTTGTAATATTGCCACGTGACACAGTTAACACAGTGTAGTATACTGATCCCACCATGCAATTTGCAACAATAGTGACAGTTTTGTTATTAATATTTTTGGAAATACACTCTCGGGCTTCCTTCAGAGTTGAATGAGAGGATTTCTATCTCTTTAATTTCTCTCTGGCAAATACCCAGCAGCCAGAAGATGAAACAGGAGAATACGACTGCATGAATGCAACTATTTAAAGCTCATCTTTCAGCATGCTGTGATTTGAAACCCCTTAAACGTGTTAAGTTGAATTTTAAAATCATGAGATTTTATTATTTGAAGTCATCACGATAGCTGTGCTTCTGCTTAGCTGAAGAAACTGGTCACCTTAGTAGAAATATAAGCAAGATAACGGTCTCATTTAACACGGGAAGTAAGCAAATGAGTGCATTTCCAAAAACGTACAAATTATACACACACTATTTGGTAGTTTTATTAGGAATGCCTGTATGCATAAACCAATGCGGACAATTGCATTTTCTTTGTATTTTCTGCACTTAGTTTGTGGGAACATTGTAAATGATATGAAAGAGGACCTTATATGCCATATTTTAGATTGGTGTGAATTAACTACTGAGGGACCCAGCTTTGTATTATAGCAACATTCACGCACTGAAGCCCAAAAGCCCTTTAAAAGTATTTAAAGATCTGTATTTATGGATACAGCCCATTGCAGATTTTTTTTCTTTTTTCTTTCTTTTGATGTAAATAGCAAAGGTTTCTTCTCCTGTGGTATACGGAAAAGTGAGGCACATGGTTAACTCTCACATGCATCTGAAGCTTATGTTGAATCTCAACGGTGAAGTATTTTCTGGATGCCGCACACAGTGACTGAAACAAGGCAAGGGCAGATTATAGTCATGAGTTCTGCACTCAAAACTCTTCAAAACAGCAAACCTGATTCATAAAGTAATAATATAAAAAAATAAATCACCACAATAATTTAAGTAAAAACCAACAGCTCTGACAGCAAAATCGTGCCTTGGGAAGAGATTCCCACTTGTCTTCTTTGTCTGAAAGAGTTGAATTCCAAGCATTTTGATATGATATGGCATGCCAAATAAAGACTGGTCAAAACATATACATAGAACTTTGCACGCTTCATGAAAACCATAATAACTATGCTGAAACTGAGAGCATAAATGCCTGCTCCCCGCAACTTCTGGTGTGTTTTTGCTCCACACACTCCTCTGACCAAACACAGAGAGTTCTCTACTACAGAAAGGATTTGCAATAGGCATGACAGAAATACCAACTATCCACAGTGTATTCTTCTCTGTGTTTGTTGGTTGTACATAGTTCAATCAATTTCTCCTGAGAAAGACGAACATGATGCAGCGGTGAGACAATTTTTAGGTGTCAGACTTGTTTTTTACGCCCAAAACAAAACTGGAGCGCTCAGTTATCAGTGGATTATGTACAAGATTCTATTTTATAGAAAAGAATGAAAGATAAATTATTTTTAAGTATATTATGAGCATGTGTTTAGTGTAAATAAGGTTTTAAAAAAGTCTAAACTGATTTTATATCCTGTTTTTTTTTTTTTACCATGTTTTTTTCTTGTGGGTGTTTATGTCTTGTTAGGGTGGAGGCTCCAAGAGGCAGATTGTGAACTTGTTTCATTTCATATCTCAACATTCTCTGCCACCTGACACTAACAAATCTAAACCAATTCATAATCAACTTCTGTAGCTCTTTTGTATCAATTTCTTGAAGTACTTAAAAATCACATCCATCAAGAATATTTTTATAGAATCTGATCTTTTTGTATATTCAACTATTTTGTTAAAACATTTTTGACTTTGTAATATTGGCAGTCACCATATACACTGTCTTGGGGTTTAAATTTCATCGATGTTGACCGATTTATACTCACTTCTGGGCACTCTGTGCATATAGTGCCATTTATGCAGTGCTTGTAAGAAAAGAAAAAAAGATAGAAAGAGAGAGAAATGTGTTCCCATTTGTGATAATATTACACCAACAGAGTTTTGTCCATGTTCACTTATTCATGTCTTATTGGAACTCTAAATTATTTTCCTCTACCTCATGTGTATAGCTTGTAGGTATAAACAGATCACGAATGACTGGTAAGAATGTATTTAAGTTATTTAACATCTTTGTATAACAAAGGCGGAAAAAAACTGAAATAATAAAATAATTTTTAAATGATTTCCTGTAAAGTGTAATTGATTTGTGTCGCTTATAACACTTCATTCATTCATATCACGAGCCCCACAGGATGCTCAAATCCTGCTCATATTTTAAAAATGTTACTATTGGGTTTTTCAGATTTTATGTTGTTGTTTTTTTAACATATAAAACTTGAAACATTTCCAGTTTTCTTTTTTAAACAAACAGGACTTTATAAGTTCAGTAATAAGACTAATATTAATTAAATTAGTCTCTGGGGCAACTTTAACAAATTTTTCTTCATAAAAAAAATATCTAAATGTTAACTACAACTCCTGGCGGAGGATAGAAGTGGCTCACCTAAGTTATTGATGCATGTACAATGTAGTACCATGCCGCATTATCTAATTAGCCTGTAAACCGCAGAAGAACGTATTTTGTGACAATCGGCTAACTTTAGAAGATCAGAAAAACAAGACAAGTTTTAGAGACTTGAACATCATACTATGACATCCCAAAAAAGTAATCTAGCATGTTATAAATGTCATAGAACCATTGTTCAGTAGTATGGCTGTAGTACTGTGCTGGAAACCACACCTTTCCCTAGAAGAACCTACCTGCCTACACACTCACCCAGATTAATTCTGACATTGAATGTAAGCTTGTTAGATCAATCTTTTTAAACTGGTTTCCAGTGGCTCATCTGCCGTTCTTTGTGCAGACATCTCAGTCTTGTGAGAACAAGAACAGTGTGGGAGAAAGTTGGGGTGACCAGGTCTCGACTTTAAACCACTTCTTACAAAATAGCAGTGAGGGAAATAAACAGACTTCCGCCACATCATTAGATGTCATTGTTGAATCGGGAATTTTACAGAAAACTGATACAGATGATGTTTGGTCTTCACAGCTTCATGCTGGTTCAGAATTACTTTGCTTTGACATCTTATATTGATTTAGTGTTCCAATTATTAAGGTTAGCTGTCATGTTACCCTAAACATCATCATAGCAGGGATGTTTTTATGTCAGTGTCAAACCAAGTTACCATGAAACTCATTAGAGTGCACGTATAACATTTCTGTTTTGGGTGTACAGTGTTAAAACACACAAATGAGCCAGTCATTGACCTTGTAGAGCTGATATTGTTTGAACAAGCAGTATCCCCTCACCAGATGAGGGTCAGAGGAGTTTTCTTTTTCAACAATCCCGCAAATATCTTGAGCCCTCATCATAAAAGCCTCAAAGCTCAATTAATCCCAGAGAAAATGAGCTTTGTGATCCTAGACTGTGAATGGGAGCTTCATACACAGTTGGAAAAACAAAACATAATTACGAACATATTTGTTC